TTTAAAAGCAAACAATGCATGGCAATTTATAATTTGTGTAATAAAAAAAATTAAGAATTTCAATTTATTATTTAACAAAATTTGTTATTATTAAAAATTATGCGAACTTTTTTGTCTTTTCTTCACTTTTGTTACACTTATGTACATAATTACCAGAGGAAGACTTTGTACGAAAGTCGATTGCTTGGGTACCTCTGTCCCATTCGTGTTTCAACCATGAAGCAGTTATGTTTGCATGGCTGTGTTTCGGTTGTGTGGGATATGGCGTGAATTTACTGGATACAGAGGAATAACACCTTAGTCCTCAGGAATGGCAACGCATGGGGGGTATCATGGGCGAAACAGTACACTCTGTTATGTCCATGGTACTTACTGCTCATGTCTATAGGCGACGGTTACCATTTTCCTTCAGGTGGGCCGTCGCCTTGTTTGCTATTCTAAGTTGAATAAACCGAAACATAGCCATGCAAACACAACTGCTTCACGGTAGAAACACGAATGGGACAGAGGTACCCAAGCAATCGACTTTTGTACAAAGTCCCCTCTGGTAAATGTCTAAAAATGGTAATGAAAACTAATTATTTTTAATATATATATTTTTTAACTTCTTTCTCTTTACCAGTTACGACTTACAACAGATTCAATAAGCACAACAATATTAGTTATATTGCAATTATTACAGCGATTGATGGCCCAATCAGCATTAATTTATGTTAGTAACATAAACGTAAAGTAAACCCGACACCAGTGACGTCAATTAACTGGTAAATGAATTCCAAAGTTTATAACTTTATACGTATTGAAACGGAATGCTAAATTGTTCACCCAACTTTTCATCCTTCACTGGTGCCCCGCCGATGTATACCGATAGCGCGGGTGGGGTTACCAATCCATTATCATCCATTAAAAAAGAAAAAAAAATGTTCACCCACTTATGTTATGTTGGCTATTTAACATACTGTTGAATCTATAATATAATCTAAATGAATCGATTCATTCACACATGTCATCACATGTGTTGCTAAGCGCAACTTACGAAAACAGCTGAACCGATTTCACTAATTCTTTTTTTAGAATATTCCTTGAAGTACGAGGTTGGTTCTTACGGAGAGAAAAATTAAAAAAATTGCCTGGAAACGTCTAAAAACAGCACTTTTCTATACTCCTACACAAACGATTCGTAATAATAGATAAAAGTCAATTTGAACTTTAATACCATATTATAAAGTTCAAGTGTTAGTGCAGAGATTCCGGGAAGGCAAAACAATTGAGCGACGTGGCACGGCGTGTTTTATAATTATTTTTTTTTGACATAATGTAATCGTTGACTTATTAAGTTTCTTTTTTCTTTTTTGCCTTACTAGCTGACTCGATGAGCCGAATAGCAGATTATATATTAAAAAAATAAATTAATTAAAGAATCGACTGTTAGGCGGTACGAAGTTCGCGGTGTCAGCTAGAATGCTAGAATAAATTTTGATTTTTTTTTAAACAGTGTACTGATGTGACATACATGTGTAAACCTGCCTATGTATATATATACATTTTTCTCTCCCTCTTTTCATCTAATTCATGCATCTTCTTCTAGCCAGCTTGCATGCACCATGCATCTTATCCCAGGCCATATCTTTGACCCTATATGACATAACTAACATCTAGTGTTTCCTTTATTTGTCCTATATACTTATTCCTTGGTCTTCCATTTCCTCTTTTGCAAACACTAAGTTCATGGGGAAAAGGGATCGTTAGCAATGGAGTTTGACAGCCCCATTGCTAGCAATATGCCCCATTAGGTCGACCTGCACGTGGTTCCCCCTGGAAATCATCGTGAACAATTCTTGTTGAATTCGTCACGATGGGCTAACTGACCTACTTCATTCTCATCTATCATCCTTCACTTGTGCCCCGCCAGTGTATACCGATAGCGCGGGTGAGGTTACCATTCCATTATCACCCATTAAAAATAACACTAAGTTCATAGTGAATTCGCTATACATAGAAATAGTAATTGCTTTTTGTTTTTATAAAATAATCCTATGAGTCATCCCAGACCGTCACGCGACAGGGAATCCTAGTGGAAAGGTCAGTGTCTCCGATTTGATTGGATATATCAAAAGTTCCACCTTTTGAAACTGCTTTCGTCTTTGATTGCTTGCAATGATGTTTTTGATAGATCGATATAAAAATTGAATTCTATCCCATTCTCTATGTATTAAGCTACCGTTATGGTATCTTTCCTGTTTTAGTTCCTGAAATAAATGATTTATCGTTTATGTCTTATTATATATTCAATGTCACTAGCAGTTGGGTGATTCGATCTTTTATATAGCTTTATAAATTTTGGATATTCTTTTTTTCTTGTTTTTAGTTGAATAATATAATTTCTGCTATCCACTGATATCTACTAATAAACTAACGGAATATAATACTATATATTTAGTACACTTGTGTTATTGTATGTTTATCGACTGTCACTATCCGTGCGCTATGCTAAAAGATCCTCGATAGCAACAGCGCTTTATCAATATTATTCAAATTGAACGCCTGTCAAATGTGAATTAGCAATTTCCTCTTGCGACACTATTGTGTAAGGAATACCACAGGGGCATTACATTATGTGGAGGTACTGAAAATTGAGTAATATTGTTACGGTATAATATATAATAATACTAGCTGTATCCCGTGACATCGTCCTTTGTACATAAAGTACTTTATATGCTAAGTTAGGTACTTTAAATAACTGTGTTTACATATCACAAAGTCATTGCTCTAGTGGGAATAATCATTGTTAGGTTAAATCTTATTCATATACCAAATTTTATTTAAATCTGATCATTGGATTTTTCGTGCTAATTTCACCAGCGTAAGAATAAAAAAAACACCAAAGTTCTTAAATAACGTTCTCGTACGACGAAACGATGTAAGACACGAGTTTTACACCGTGTCATATGCGAACGATCCAGCAGTTGGACGTAAATTGTTTATTATAATACAATATAGTATAAAGTAATGATAAATTACTTTAGCGGCTGTGAACTGGCAAAACCTTCTGTAGGATGCATTTAACTATTTTTTTACAAAAATCTATAAATGATTTTACTATTATTACCATTTTACTTAAAACAATTACAAGTTAATTATGGCGGGAAAGCTAATCTACTCACACATACGTGATTGTAGAACAAAATCCAGACCTAGACATGTCTATTGATTTCTTTCATCGCTGGTTGAAAACCAAAAAAAACAGTCCAATGCCTAAACGAGTCAACTATTCGTACATAGATGCAAGTGAATTTTATCAGGTTAAGATTGCGTAGTGCAATTTAGGTATTTGGTTTCGCAATGCACCAGGTCAACGCACGGACGCACTTCCTTATTAACTCCCTTGAGATCCCAGCCCACGCTTCGGAGAACCCTTGGGCAATCGTCAAGATAAGTGTTCCATACATCGATATATAAGAACCCCTAGATGCCTATTCGACCTATTTACGGTAAGCATTCTACACAACTACGTTGTGTATATTCGTTTTTAACTAACTTGAAAAAGTTCTCGATTCGTTTGTATTTTTTTTATATTTGTAATCTCATTCAATCTCGTCATTAATAACAGAGTTACCTTTTCGGAAAATTCTTTTTTTTTGTCTAAAAAGATATACTTAGAGATTGGTCCTATTAAAATTTTATCAAAACTGGTTCAGAAATTTGATTTTTTAATCAGAGTGACTGGTTTTGCCACAATCTTAAGTAATATTTTAAAATTGAAAACACAGTTTAAATATATGCGTAGATGACATACAAATTTATCTGCTAATAAAATTTCTCTTTACAAAACCCGTGTAGTTGAACGAAACGTATGCGTTGTAGCATGCAATTTTAGATGTTTTTTTATTAAGACTGGACTAAAATATATAAGTAAACCTTCGACATTTGTTGGATTTAAACATCTGGACAGACGAGGCAAGTATAAAGGATTTTTTTTATTCTTTTCACCTACACAGGTTATTAAGTGGTAAGTTTTGGATGGCATTATGTATCTCGAGTGGCGACCGCGTACGGGTAAACGCAGTGTAGGACGACCCCCTACTCGATGGAGTGGCAACTTGAAATGCATTATAGGGAGTTAGTGGATGCAAGTGGCTCAGGACCGTTCTTTATGTAAGTCTATCGGGGAGGTTTATTTGTAGCAGTGGACGGATAATGGCTGAAATGATGGATGTTGGATGTATCTTGAGTTTTTTAATATCAATGGTTTCAGTACTTCGTTTCCTTTGATAAAGTGTGACACTGAAAAAATCCGGAAACACCAAACTGACTTACATCCTTAATAATATTACAAATATGAAAGGAAGTTTGTTTCTTACCTTTTGAGTCCTTAACGGCTCAACCAATTGTCATGAAGTTTGCTAGACATATAATCTTTAGAACGATAACGGACATGGGCTACTTTTTATATTAGTCGGTTTATAAGTTTGTAATAAACATTAGAGCAGTGTTTCCCGATCTTTTTTGTGCCGTGCCCCACTTGAACATTTCTAAATTATTTAACAACTACTAGCAAAACCCCTTATGAGGGAGGCTTATGTTCAGCAGTAGATAGGGAGGAGACTTTGTACAAAAGTCGATTGCTTGGGTACCTCTGTCCCATTCGTGTTTCAACCGTGAAACAGCTGTGTTTGCATGGCTGTGTTTCGGTTTGAAGGATGGGATATGGTATGAATTTACTGGGTACAGAGGAATAACACTTGAGTCCTCAGGAATTGCAATGCATGGGGGGTATCATGGGCGAAACAGTATACTCTGTTATGTCCATGGTACTGCTCATGTCTATAGGCGACGGTTACCACTTTCCATCGGGTGGGCCGTCAGCTTGTTTGTCATTCTAAGTTAAAAAAAAAATAAAAAAAAAAGATAGTTAAAAATTGATTTAAAAAAAAATTGAAAAACACTGGTCTATAGACAGAATATTCCTATATACAGCAAAATGATGATTCGATACTTACTTGGCTCTATCATCGTCATCGTTGTTTTCATCTGTGGGGTGGTCACCGTCGCTGAATCCGGATGCTGTGCTTTGATGGTGTTCCGGAATCTGTAAATGTAAACATAATCCTTTAGTTATGTTGCAATCTTTTGGTTCCTCAAAATTTTTTTTGTCGACATGGCATACCATGCAAGATGATAGCCCATTTGATGGAGAGTGAAGATTTGATTAGCACATTGGACAAAACAGAATACGCTATTCATATTCCTAAGGGTTAATATATATATATACATACATACATATCCATATCTAACACGCCTGTCTCCCATTAGGGTAAGCAGAAACAATGGAACGACAAATGCTTCGAGATATATATATATATATATATATATATATATATATATATATATATATATATATATATATACTTAACATTTTTTTTATGAAGCATTTTATAATTTTATTCCATAAACTACGGTAAATTAATTTAACTAACAACAAAATTTTAAAAATTTTAAAATATGTGTGTTTGTGTATATAAGTGTCAAATATCAAAAATCAAATATGTACACTACATAATATGAAAAGAAAAGAATTCCCACTAACCGGATTAAAAATTTTTTGTAAACGATAATGATAACAATATCAAGTTACACTTAAGTTTGTTTTAGGTATTATTTAACACTTGTGATATAAAAACAATATATATATATATATATATATATATATATATAATAACAATTGTAATAATTGTTCTAGATAATAACTTGTATGATGTGTTTCTCAGTTCTCTATAAACTCGTCACTCTAATTTGTCTATGTCATTCTAAGTTGCATAAAAAAGAATAATTTAAATTACTCATACTTTCTCACAAATTATATATTCATAATAACAATAATAATAATAAATGCCACACTATTATATTATTTCACAAATTTGTAATATAAATTTATTTTTAATGTAAATTTAAAATTTACTATTTATATAACACATTGTATCTGAATTACTAGTTGCAATTCGAAATTGTTAATTCAAAAATTAAAGTTAAATTAAAAAAATTCGAAATTGTTATTTAATTATATAACACACTGAATCTCTACTAGTTGTAATAGTAAATATAAATAAACAATGCTGAATTTTTATTTAAACCCCTTAAAAAACAATTATAACAATAAATGCCACACTATTATATCATTTCACAAATTTGTAATATAAATTTATTTTTTATATAAATTTTAAATTTACTATTTATATAACACATTGCATCTGAATTACTATTTGTAATAGTAAATAATAATAAACAATGCTGATTTGTTATTTAAACACCTTTAAAAACATTATGAGCACTGCCATACGTGTCAGGCAAATTGTGACACTGTAATGAAATTATCTGTGACAAATAGAAGTCTAGTTATTGTTTGATATCAAATATTATGTTGTGTAATTAGGTAAAATTAACGAATATATGTACATGTTTATTTTAATTAACGTCTTGTTACGAAAAACTTAGTTAATTTATTATATCGTTTAACTGTAATCGTTTTTTTTTTTTTAAGTTAATTAAACAAACCAAAAATAATTTTAGAACAATCAGAGCAGATAGGTTTGATATTAAGATTTTCAAAGATATATAAGTACTTAAATGACTATGCTAGCACAAAAAAAAAAAAGATGAATTAGGTAATACTAAATATTCTTAAAAATATTTCACGAAATATTTGAGATTATAGCAATATTTTATAATTTAAGATTGTGAATCACAAAAAAACTTACTTTAGTCGTGGCAAAATCAGTTATTTTGTTTAAAAAACTACTATAGGGATTTGGTTAAAATTTCTATGGCACCAAACGGAAAGTATAATGGAAAATGGCAACAGTATCCTGAACATGTTTGTCCTCTAGTGAGAATGCTTGTCGAGAGGACTAAATCATTACTAGTGATTAAATATTAGCATTTTTAAGTACACTTACTAACAAAAATGGATCCGAGTCATTTAAAATAAACAAATGAATAAAATAAAAAATAATACTTCCAGATAAAAAAAAATTGAAGACGTTTTGTAACTGAAGAAGTATTGTATTGTATTGTAAAATCTTTATTGTACATAATTCACACTGGACACTGAAAAATGATTTAATATACAATGGCGGACTTATCCCATAAAAGAATCTCTTACAGTCAACCTTTGAGAAGCTGAAAGAAAACTGTAGAATGTATAAAGGTAATAACCGAAGTTATGGGGTAACAAACATAAAAAAATTCCATTGAATTGAGAACCACATCTTTTTATTAAATCGGTTAAGTGACATGCTATACACGTATGCGAGTCCTCGTTAACAGTATTATGCTATCTTAATCAAACAATCTTATATGTGAAAGACAAATATTTAGCCACTCCAAACACAATATAACTGGATTATAATGTAAACTTCACGCCGGCCTCCACACGGGGTGAGTAGAGAGAATTGGACACCAGAGGCCTGTACTTATTTATTTAATAATTTATTTCTTATTGTATTCCGTAATATGATTATTAGATAACTTTTCAACTTTAATTATTACAGTTGTTAATTATTACTGTTGCACACAGCAAGTAGGAGGTAGGAGGACAATCCTTTTTTTTTTCCTTACCTTAATCCTATTTTATCTCGTAGATAAAATATTGTATAATTTATATAATTTGTGAGTTAATATAGATACGTCTGTAATCCTTGATGAATGAAAAATAAAAATATTGAAAATTGTTGTGGTTTGTAACTATTTAGTTACAAACACCTCTACATATATTGACTCACAAATTATATAATATTTTATTTACGAAATACAATACAATACGAGTTCCAATTTCAAAATTTATATTATACTGCTTTCAAGTAGCCAGTTCTAAAAATTTTCAGTGTAGCCCTCGTAGGCGTCCGCCTTTTGTGCCAAACATTTTTTGTGATGTGGTAAATAAAAAATAATTACATATATAAATGTGTATAATAAAATATAGTATAAGAAAATAAGTACAATGTCGCCTTTGTATATTATGTTTTTATTATATTTTGTGTACAATAAAGAATAAAGAAAGAAAAAAAATAAGGTAAGTGAAGTAGTTCTATATAAATTACATAAAATTTTAGCCCAACTAACAGAGTAGTTCCACTCCTTTGGAGGTGTAATTTTTTAGTATCTTGGTTTTCTAAACCGCTTTCGTTAAATGCGAGGCCCATAACATTTATTAAAATCAATTTATTACCATATTTAATAATAATTGAGTTTATCTATTACAAATGATACTAGTTATGTAGAGATTAACAACACTAATAGGTTTAAAAGGTTAAAAAGTAAAAGATACATAAAGATATATAGAGTTATAAAGATTAAAATTACCAAAATTAAATAACTTACTAAAAATAAGTAAAAAAAAAAAACAATTTACTACCAAAGTTAATAAATGCACAGGGCATTGCTAAAATAAAATAAAAAAGAATTAACGTAGACATTGCTAAAATTTAAGAAAAATCTTATTTACTCATTGCTCAATTTGAGAAAAAACTAATTTGAGCAATATAAAAATTAAGAAAAAACTGGCCTGTGTCAGAGGTATGCAGTCAAAATCGTGGTGTCGCCTGCCGCGCATCCTTGCATCCGATCACTTGCACTCTGCCACCGGCCGCGATAAGTTAATTAACAGTAATCAACATTAATTATAATGAATCTGGACCGTCTACTGGGTGTCTGATGCAGGGCTGTCATTTAATTCGCAAAGTAAAAAGAAGAAATCGTTATTTATATTATAAACGAGACATGGGTAATATATAGCTATATATATATATAATATAAATACTGTAGTTACAATATCCACATATTGGGGGGAAAGGGATTGTTAGTAATGTAGACTGAGAATCTTATTGCTAGCAATATACCCAACCAGGTAGACCTCCTCGCGGTTCTCCATGGAAACTATCATGGTTAATTCCTGATGAATTCATCATGATGGGCTAACTGACCTGTTTTCATTCTCATCTATCACCCTTCACTGGTGCTCCGCCAGCGTATCCCGTTAGCGCAGGCGGGGTTACCATACCATTTTCAACAACATATTGGCCCGATAAAAGATATGTTAAATGTCGGTTCGCCTTGTGTGTCCGGGCATAGAATAAACCACCCCTTCCGTTCCAGTGGGTGTTGTAAGAGGCGAGGGAGGGGCAGCATAAAAAACTAACTGCGGTTGCCAACATGCCTGCCAAGCGTGGCAACTACTGGCGAAAATCTCCTTATGGGCAAGGCTTATGTCCAGCTGTGGATAGTTAACGGCTGAAATAATAATCAATAAATTTCGGTTTTCCAATACATTATATAATATTGAAAAAAAAAGCCCCGACTGAAATGAATGGACGTTGACCTTTTTCACCATCAATACTATATATTATGTCGCCCATGATAACCCTTATACGTTGTCATCCCTGAAGACTAAGGTGTTACGCCTCTGTATCTTGTAATTTCATTTATTTATGTATTGATTCAAACCGAAACATAGTCCCTGCAAACCATGCAAACACAATCCGAAACATTCATAATATAAAAATACTCTTTTTAAATAATATTATATGATATAATGAATTCTGTATAAAATTTTCTCGCAGTCATTCTGACGATTATAAGAGGAACTAAATTCACATCGACATGATAATAGTGTTTAAATAATGTCTATAGATCATGATAGATGGCGCTGTAACTATTAAATTGTAATAAACCGTTCAATAACAGGCATTTTAAATTTAATTTAAAATAATTAAGCTTAGTTTATTTAACCACTCCCAATTGTATAAAAAAAAAGTTAATTAAACTAAATTTGTGAGTTATTGTTGTCATTATAAAAATGGTACAATGTTATTATCTATTTGAAATAAATAAATAAATAATATATATAAAAATCACGTGTCACTTGTTTGTGATCGAACTCCTCTGAAACGGTTCGTGTACAATACATAGTATAGTATATTTTGTATACAAACAGTAAAAATTTAGACACTCTAAAAATTTCTGAATAAAACTGAGATATATATATATATATATATATATATATATATATATATATATATATATATATATATATAT